AATTGACTTGATGGCAGTGGGCAACGGGTAGGAAGATTTCTTTTTCCTTCTAGACCCCAGGTAGATTGAGTTCCTCAAGGACAGCTAAATGTCATGTCTTCCAATCCCTTTCCGACTTCCTGTACCTTGTGTGACTTAGAAGGCCGGGAAACATTAGTGATTGATGACTATTACAAAACATTGACCCACTGGGTCTGCCTGACCCTACAGACTCAAAACCAGCCCCTTGAAGAAGAAAACAATATATTTTGGGAAAGTGATTCAAGAAGAAAAAGCATTATAATGTCTGGCTTGCTCAAGGCGGGGAGTTTATCTTGCTTTATGGAGAAGATTTGGCACTTCGCAAAAGATGACACTTGGCGTCTCCAAACGAGGCGAACAAGTCACAGCTAACACCACTAATTGCTGGGAGGGTTTTCTGATGGAAGCTTTTCCTTCAGATCTTGGTTTAGACTTGGGACCAAGCCTTCCTTGCTCCCTCACCCTCCGCCTCCGGGAGACCCCGCAGCTACAGTGTTCTTAGGATCCTACACCTTCTCCTGTACCTGCAGACAGAAGCAATTGGAAATTATCTCTTTTTTTTTAATTATAATTTTTATTGAGATAAAATTCACATACCATAAAACTCACCCTTTTAAAGGGCAAAACTGAGTGATTTTTAGTATAGTCACAAAGTTGTGTGACTATCACCAATATGTAATTCCAGGACATTTTTATCACCCCCCAGAAGAATCCTTATACTCATTAGCTACTCTCCATTCCCTTTTCCTCCCAGCCTCTGGAGACTACGTCTACTTTCTGTCTCTATGGATTTGCCCGTTCTGGACATTTCACATAAATGGAATTGTCCACTGTTTGCCTTTTTGTCTGGCTTCTTTCACTTAGCAAAATGTTTTCAAGGTTCATCCACGTTGTAGTCAGCACTTCATTACTTTTTATGGCTGGATAATATTCCACTGGATGGATATACCATATTTTGTTTATTCATTCATCAGTTGATAGACATTTGGGTTGTTTGCACTTTTTGACTATTATGAATAATGCTTCTATGAACATTTGTGTACAAGTATTGTGTGAACGTATGTTTTCATTTCTCTTGTGTCTGTACCTAGGAGTGGAATTCCTGGATCAAATGTTAATTCTATATTTAATTTTTTGAAGAACTGCCAAATTGTTTTCCAAAGTGGCTGTTCTATTTTACTATTTTACATTCCCACCAGCAATGTATGAGGGTTCCAATTTTTACACATCCTTGTCAGCACTTGCTATTGTCTGTCTTTTATTATAGCCATCCTAGTGAATGTAAATTTATATCTTATTTGACTTATATTTCCCTAATTACTAATGATGTTAAGCATCTTTTCATGTGCTTATTACATTTGTATATCTTCTGCAGAGAAATATCGATCCAAACTCTTTGCCCATTTTTAAATTGGTTAATTATCTTTTTATTGTTGAGTTATAAGAACTCTTTATATATTCTGTGTACTAGACCCTTATCAAATATAATAATTTATAATTTTTTTCTCCCATTCTGTGGGTTATCTTTACATTTTCTTGATAATGTCATTTGAATCACCCATTTTTTTAAAAAAATTGTGCTTTAGGTGAAAGTTTACAGTGCAAGTTAGTTTCTCATTCAAAAATTTATACACAAATTGTTTTGTGATATTGGTTGAACTCCCTGAAATGTGTCAGCACTCTTTCCCTTTCCACCCCGGATTTCTGTGTCCATTCATCCAGTTTTCCTGTCCCTTGCTGCCTTCTTGTCTTTGCTTTTGGGTAGGTGTTGCCCATTTGGTCTTGTATACTTGATTGAACTAAGAAGTGCGTTCCTCACGCCTGTTATTGTTTGTTTTATGGGCCTGTCTAATCTTTGGCTGAAAGGTGGACTTTGGGCATGGCTTCGGTTCTGAGTTAGCAAGGTGTTCAGGAGCATAGTCTTGGGGGTTCCTCCAGTCTCTGTCAGACCACCACCAGTAAGTCTGGTCTTTTTTGTGTGTGTGAATTTGAAATTTGGTTCTACATTTTTCTCCCATTCTGTCTGGGACCATCTGTTGTAAGCACAAACGTTTTTAATTTTGATGATGTCTAGTTTATCTGTTTTTAATTTGGTTGCTTGTGCTTTTGGTGTCATATAGAAGAAACCATTGCCTAATCCAAGGCACACAGGTTTACCACTATGTTTTCTTCTAACAGTTTTATTAGTTTTAGCTCCTACAGTTGGGTCTTCGATCCACTTGAGTTAATTTTTGTATATTGCACAAGGAAGCTATCCAACTTCATTCTTTTGCTTGCGGATATCCAGTTGTCCCAACACTTTCTTGAAAAGACTATTTTTTCCCTGTTAAATTGTCTTGACACCCTTATCAAGAATCAACTGCCCACAAATGTATGGGTTTATTTCTGTACTCTCAATTCTTTTCTGTTGATGTATATGTCTATCCTTATGCCAGTACCACACAGTCTTGGTTAATGTAGCTTTGTATTAAGTTTTGAAATTGGGAAGTGTGAGTCCTTCAAATTTGTTCTTCTTTTTCAAGATTGTTGTGGGTATCCTGGGTTCCTTGAATTTCCATATGAATTTTAGAATCAGCTTGTCAATTTCTGCAAAAAAGCTGTTGGGATCTTGATAGGGCTTGCATTAAATCTTTAGATCAGTTTGGGGAGTATTGCCATCTTAACAACATTAAGTCTTCCAGTCATTGCTAATTTTAACTAACTAAGATAACTAAGAGGTGTCTTAGTTATCTAGTGCTGCTACAACAGAAATACCACAAGTGGATGGTTTCAACAAAGAGAAATTTATTCTCTCACAGTTTAGGAGGCTAGAAGTCTAAATTCAGTGTGCCAGCTCTAGGAGAAGGCTTTCTGTCTCTGTTGGTTCTGGGAGAAGGTCCTTGCCATCAATCGTCCCTTGGTCTAGCAGCTTCTCAGTACAGGAACCTCAGGTCCAAAGGAGTCACTCTTCTCCCGGTGCTGCTTTCTTGGTGTATGAGGTCCCCATGTCTCTCTGCTTGCTTCTCTCTTTTATATCTCAAAAGAGATTGACTTAAGGCACAGTCCAATCTTGTAGATTGAGTCCACATAACTGCTGCTAATCCCATCTCATCAACATCATAGAGATAGGATTTACAACGCATAGGAAAATCACATCAGACAATAAAATGGTTGACAATCACACAATACTGGGAATCATGGCCTAGCCAAATTGATATACATATTTTTGGAGGACACAGTTCAATTCATGA